TTAAATTCTGTTTATACAGTAAATTGCTTTTGATTGGACAGTGCTATAGATGTTCCCAAACAACCAATTTACTCACCACTAAAGTCTTATGTCGATATAGTAGCTGCTGGTTATAAGAAGGGGGAGGGAATTAATGTTCAACTCAGGCCACATCCACACGAACACATTTTGATTTTAAAATTGTTTTAAAACAAAAACAATCTCTGTCTTTTTAGCACCATTTCAGAAGTAATCTCTGTCCACACTAACATGCCTGAAAACGTGAATCACATTAACTGTTGATGTACACTGGGCATGCATCTGACGAAATAAACAGAAACCAGATTGTCTACACTGTGGTTGGTTGCTTAGTTGTAGAAAATAATAACGAGATAGCTAAAAGTAAGATAAGCGATGCTTTGCAAGAGGTGGAACTGTCACTAAAAGTAACACCTGAGTATAAGGCGGTCAAGCTGGAGGAAAACAAACAGGGAGTCGATGCAAACCAAATATGCCGACATATCAGAGCTGTACCAGGAGCATTAGCCATTGCCGTAGGAAGTCATGGCAATGGGACACAACAGGGATAAAATCATAAAAGGTATGTGGATCTAGCTGTAATGGTTTGACACATCGGGACTGATAAGATCCAATCAAGAAGCAGATGTAGGTGTCTACATCACCATGTTCAAAAGTCTCCTTTGCCTTCTTTCCAGACTAAAACACAGCCAGGAAGTTTTCAAACTAAACAAGGTAAGCAGTGTTTTCAAAGGTCTCCATTTTAGTGGAGGAGTGTGGACTCTGGGTGTAAATGTAGCAACAGTTACATGTAAACATATTAGTGTGGATGTAGCCTCGGTAATGGATTTTTGAATTGTGGTTGCAACCCAATCCTGAACTTAAACACTTGCTGACGTGTGTGTGTGCAGTGTGGATTAAAAAAACTCCTACTGTGTGTGTGTTCTTGTGTGTGTTTGTAGCCTGTCTACCCGGCTGTGGGTCTCTGGCTGCGTGAAGACAAAATGGCAGGATGTAGCACTGTGAAGTCTATTAGGACAAAATCACATACTGCCACTCAGCTGTCCGAGACGTTTGATTAACCTTCACGGTGGGAATGTGGTTCCAGCAACAATTTTCACTTCATACAATAGTAATGAGGTAAGGGGGCTGGAGAGAACCCGAGAAAGGACGAGGACAAAGTAGGAAATGGTCTGAAATGGTAAAGTGGTTTCGAAGGGCTGATGTATGTACTTCACTGTCCTCTTCAAGCACACAGAGGGATACTCTGGCTGTTTCTATGAACAGACTGTCGTCTCAGTAACCAGAAGGCCACATTGCCTCTCGTTTTTTAAGCTGCAAAGTAATGTAGTGACTGAGCAAATGATCTGCAACATGACAAACAAACACTGATATATTTGAGTTTAATAGTTTTAACAGTTTCCAACAAAACTACACAACTCAAACAAGCCTTGGTGCTCTTGTTTATATAACCTCACTTATAATTTAACAGATTAACTGAAACACTGGACTGAAATACTAATTTAACACAAGAACTGCTAATGTTTGGCCTGGGGAAAAGATTTAAAAGTATAAAACGTAACATGCATTAAAAATTCATTTGCTTTAGTCCGTTTAAGTCGAAACTCTTGACCTTGAAACAAGTTAAGCCTGCAGGGTGAGATTACTGCATTTATTTCCAATAAAAGTTCAACTTTTAACTGAATTTAAGTTGCAGTGCTGTTAAAGAAGTATTTTTATAAAAATGGGTTCTCCATGCAGGTAAAGACACAAATACTTTTGAAACTGGTACTACGTGACCAGAGAACACAGAGGAAAAGGGTTGGGGCATTTGCTTTAGCTCAAGAGGTAGAAGACCTACAACTACCAGGATGCACTGCACCGCACCGGATCTATAAACGCTCCTGGTGGTGGGTGACATCATGTGAATTGCTCGTCCAAAAAATAGCCAGGTGATCTTGTATTACATTTAAACGGTAAGTTTCTGAAAAAACATTTTAGGCGAGAAAGAGAAAGAGGGGCTTCTTTCTCTCGATACGCTTTTATACACTTCGTGTCCGTGTAGCGGGCTTACAAGAATGAGGACGTTCATTCTGTCGGCACAAATCTGCTCTCTCCTCTGCTACTGTCAGCGGTCATTTTAGGCAGAATTGTCGCACCCTTCCTCCACCCCGTTCACCTCCAGACTCCAGGACGAGCTCAACAAAGGCTCATTCCTCTACTCATCCAGATCATCAGCACCTCTACCACCACCAGTGTCTAGACCCTGGGGGGAGGGGTTCCCTGTTTTACTATGGATTCATCACCCTTCTTAAATATATACCATCTCGATGGGGGTTCAAAGACTTCTACATTTTCCATACTTGTGTGCACATGTTAATAAATATTCCTTTCACTAAAAATGAGTCTCTCCTGATTGAAACACATTCAAATGCACCCCCTCCCCCGATGGTGTTACGATTCACCTCCTGTTTGTGACCCTGGCCCTGTGTCACCTCTCTCTCACCTGTCAGATCCAGTTAACTCACTGCAACACCTAGACACACACAGACACCCTATGGTTTCTACACTCTGACAGAGAGCATCCGATTTGCAACTCTCTGCCTCACTCCCTCCGCTCATTTAATGTCATGCAAAGAGGAACATTTTATAGACAGCTCAAAGCCAGAGTAGCTGGCTTACTTGTGATTCATTATTATAAAAAGGCTTGGAGGGCATTTCAAGGCTTCTGCGTATTCAACACAATACAAGTTTTGGGGAATTAGTCATATGCTTATAAAACGGGCTCAAGCGCCATTCAGCACGGCATCTCCTTTTGTGTGGCATTACAGTGTGTAATCAAGCGCTGCGCTTTCCAGGGCAATCACGTCCTTTATCACAGAGGAACTGTCGCCAGCCACCTACAGAGTGGGAGGATAAGCCCTGTGGGTAATAGAGTGTGGTGGGTGCTTGATTGGGTATGGTGAGTGAGAAGTTTTGCTCACATCTCATAGCACTCCCCTGCCCCCCTCGTACCCACCCCTCACACCAACAAGTCATAGCTGAGGACAGCCATCCACACGAGATATGGGACACACTTTCACGCTACTTACTTTCAATTCACTCATTTATTCGTTGCTTTCACGGAACCCTTCAGCCTCTGACCCAGTGCGAGCGTACTGAGGGACTGATTAACACACATACTAAATTTCAGACACTCTGTTTTTTGTTTTTCTTCATCCAGCTCATTCTCTGTGTAATAGGGAGGCACAGAACTGCCTGAGGTAATTAGGGGTGACATGATGTTTATGTAACCTCCAAGCCTCACAAACCAGATGCAATTATGGGCTCCTGGTCTCTGTGACCCCAGCCCTGTAGCGTAGCACCGCAGACCTGCACTCCCGTGTCCCAGGGGTGAGCCTGGTTTTGCAGGGTGATGGGGGGGAAGGTGGGAAGCTGGAGTAGGGGCAAGCAAGAGTTGAGTTCTTTTCACAGCTCCCTCTGACGGGAGCGCTCGCTGCCTAATCCAAAGTGACGGGCACTTCAGTGGAGAGGGCGCAGAGCCCCCCAATTTCCGCCAGGAACCCACGGCAGGGGAAGCAGAGAAGCCAAGGGTTGGGGTGGCAGACTTATTGTGGCCCAGTGAGAAAGAGTGGGGCAGGGGCCTCATTACAACGCTTAACTGCACTCACAGGCCCTCATTAACCCACCACACCAGTGACTCAAATCAAAACAGACAATAAAAAGAGGTCGCCGTTTGAATACACGCCTCCATTTTAGTGTGACTTGGACTCTGAGCTTTGTAACTGAGTACTTTATGGTGCTTTTACACAAACAGATTTCCGTAAACACTGACGTTTGCTACAATGGGACGATTTATGTGTAGAAACTTCCTCTTATATGTGGTCATCCAGCTTGTATACCCTTTCTCTTTGACTGCTCCCACTCTGCAGGCATGTGGACGTCTGGGAATTCCAGAGGAAAGTAATGAGAGAGTGAGAGTGTAGTTAAACAAAACCCAATATGTCCGCTGTAATAAAAGCGCAGCAACACAGAGCTTTAGGTAGCTCAGTCGTAGGGAGCAGGGGAATGGATGATGAGAGATGACAGGCACTTACGTATGTTGCTAATGGGATGCAAAGCCAGTGCAAAGATAAAGCCCGGTCTGTATCCCCCCACTCATCAGTGCTCAGGGGGAGAAGAGCTTGGCACGCCAAATGATGCGTTTCATAGAGACAATTAAAGAGCAAATCAATGCTGCTGCCTCCGTGAAATAATTAGAGATGCGGCCGACTTCAACCACAACCACACAGTGGAAGGCATGCGAAGCTCCGATAGTCGAAGAAGAGATATTGAAGGAGATCTTGAAGAATGTTTTGAGAAGATCCAGCTGATTAAAAGTTACCCCAGTCACCAAGCAAACCTGGTTTTCATTAGGCTTCAGAACAAATTGCAATACAGGCTTCTTTGAAGTATTGTTATACTGAACAAGGTAGCTCATACATGTGTGTATATACCTACACTACGCTCACTATATGCTTCAGTTTTTATTTTTTAATGTAACCCTACAATCAAGTATGTGGCTGAAAATAGTGCTGTAATCACTGAACAGTAGATAAAGTGGAGAGACGGCACCCAGCCCTTCTCTCAGCTCCACAGTCTGAAAAACATGGTGATGAGGTCACACTGTTAAGACCAGCAGGCCATCACATTCTGCCTGTCACATCATCAGCGGTACTCTCCTTCCCATTTTAGAGCTCTTAATCTGCATACATCACCATACAGGAGAGGAAAGAAGCTGACTTAGTGGAGGTCTGTGCACTGTGCATTATGTGCTTGTGGAGGAACGAGTGCGATGAAGAGGTACTGTACAGGGCATACGCCACAGAGTAGCAACACCGGAATAGACAGAGATGGAGAGAAGAGAAGAGAAGAGAAGAGAAGAGAAGAGAAGAGAAGAGAAGAGAAGAGGGAAACCACATGGGGAATATAAAGTGCAGAAAAAGACAGATGGGCCCACTTACCAGCCTGGTTAGTGGTAATGTTGACTGAGGCGTACTGAGGGGAGTAGGGGCTCTGATCTGACACCCCGTTGACAGCCTGCACCTCAAACGTGTACTGTGTGTGGGCCAGCAGGTCACTAATGAAGACCCGGGGCTCCGTCAAGCCCAGCTGACGGGGCACAAACTGAACGTTGTCCCCGCAGCGGGTGCAGCCTCCCCGGCCTCCGCCACAGCTCTTGCAGATGATGTTGAAGACGACGTCCTCGCGGCCCCCCGAATCCCGAGGAGACGTCCACTCCAGCATCACAGAGGTTTCGTTCACGCTGGAGATAACGGTCTGAGGAGCTGAGGGGACGGCTGGAAAATATAAGACAGATTCTGAGGTTAACATCTGAGTGATCAGTTGTTTTGTGACTTTCACATGTACCATTTTTCTACCAAACTACACGCGGGTTTTTTAAAACATGGGAAACCCACTAAAACCAGCGACTGCTAGTAGACACAGCTCTGCAGTAGATGCTTACTGGTTTTTCTTCCTGTTGAGTGACGCTTTATGTTGAGGACGTGCCGGACAACAGGGTTAGTAAACAGTAGAAAGTGCATGGAGGACAGTGAAAATGTCACCATGGTCACTTCTGTTTTAATGTTACTTATTCAGTCTCTCTTTCAAACTTGTTGCGGACTATTTTGGAATAACGTTCGAGCACTGCTTGGACAAAAACGCATAGTATTTTGTGGTGGTGTGTCATTGTATCGTTCCGCAGAAGAGGCAAAGGGGGCCTCCACCAGGGTGTCATATTTCCATCACTGCCAATCTTAGCCGATCGGAGCTGGAGCCAATAAACACCAAGGACTACTGCAGAGTTTTTTGTCCCAGGAGTAAATATTGATTGTAACTTTTCTATTAAATACAAAAGCCAGATGTTAGTGGGTGTTGGTGAGATTTTTGTGCAATGGGAAAGCTTTAGTCACAGTCTTGATCCACTGATGATAGAAAAATCTTGATTATAGATGCTTTCAGATTCCTACTTAATGAACAAAAGTGACTGAAAACAGTGTTGAATAGGGGTGTCACAATGATCCAAATTCATGATTCAATTTGAATTTAGATTTTAAGGCCATGATTCCAATCAATCTGTATTTCAAACATTTTTTGTTTAAATCTGAAGGCTACGCCATTGTTAGACTTAAGACATAAAGATCAACAGGTCATTGGTTTCATGCTCTCACACTCTCATTAAGGGTGCTTTCAGACCTAGGGTTGTCTTGCTTTGGTCTGAATCAGGGACTTAGTTACATGATTGCCTAGAGTTGCTTCGTGTTCTCATGGCGGACCAGAAAAAGTGCCTTGTGTGAGAAAGCTGCTCTTGATTAGTCTGAATTTCCATGCGTTAAAAATCCAGGAAGTAAACAAAACATTGAAGAAGAGTACACTTGCAAGATAAATGTGACACTTTCTAATGTCACAGTGGAGGGACAACTACACAGGTTGATTTTAGCGCTGCTCATCGTGGACTATATTGCTGTCATTGTTCATTTTAGTCAAATCATACAGTTTGAAAACGAGGCGCGGCTCCAACTAGAAAACAATGTTTTGATGCATTGGATGTGCTGAATGTGCATATTAAGGCAGTACAGGAGGAGGTGCACATTAATAATCCTCCAGGACTGTAACATGCTCATGTTTAACTCAAAAAATGTGTCATGTGACTGCAGTTGGTTCAGATCGAGGTCGGAACACCTTCTCACCACAAACGAACCGCACCAGAGTTCATTTCTTCCACCTCTTCAAGAAGGTCTCGGCCCTATTGTTTTGGTGTTCACACCTGCCCAAACGAACCGCACTTAGGGGACAAACGAACTTGAATTCTATTGACCTAAACCAAACAGGGCAGGTTAGAATTGATAATGTAGTCGCGTAGTGTTAGCGTTGCAATCCAACAACTGTAGGTTGGGTTATGTAAAATCCATTTATGGTAGCATTCTGATGGTTTCCTTTAGATTCCAGCTTAAACAATGGAAAACAGGTCTTAACTAGAAAGTCTTACTAGATACAGCAGTAATATTGAACTTACAGCTTGTGATAGGGTGCTGGGTGGCCCATCGACCATTTTCTAATTCACTGATTCCAAAGCCAAGGTAGGATCCCTTGGACCGCAAGATATTTATTGGTACATTGGTACATCATCATTATTGGTACATTTTATTATTAGCCTCCTGTCATTTTGCAAAAGTGGCCCCCGGGCAGAGCAAGGTGAGAGCCCCTGGTTTGCAATATAGAAAAGAGATATTCTAAAAATGGCTGTTACTCATACGAGCCACGACTTCAAGGACGCTGTACTTTTGCATCGACTACACTCCACTGCATTGTTCTAATTTTATGATGGATGCCGTGTTGTGTACTTGATGGCATACAGGATATAATTACCAGCTCTACTTAAATAACACAGGAGAAAAGAAAAATCCAGCAGCTCACTCAGATACTATAGCTTCTTATAGACGTCTGAACTGACTGCGTTCCAAGCTGGCAGTGTTTCATCCCTCGGGATGCCCATTTACACTCTCTCATTTTCCATGCTGGTGTCCACTTTGTCAAGTGTTTTCTCAACATCTATTCTTGACAATTTTCTCATGGAGCATCGTATAGAGTTACTGCAGCGCGGAGAAACCTACTGTTTCTCCTATTGAGACATTCTTAGCAGCTAGGCATTACAGGGTGGAAACTTTCCACATGCTGCTACATGTTGAGTGACAGGCCAAACAAATAAACAATGAGAACTGTTTATCTTTTACAGGCATGTGCACCTAATTATGGAAGTCATACCCTCCAGGACTAATGAGATAAACAGTTCCTCTCCGCCCACAACATCCTAAATCTGAATCGATCACTTCTTATTTAACCTCCTTTTAATTGGCAGCAATTAACAGATCTCCGGCTCTGGAAGGCAGCCCGTTGGAGTGCCCTTCTTGGTGTCTCTCATACATGGAAACATAACTCCTCCTTGGCATCTCCTTCCTGGGGAGGAGGACTAATATCCCCCCCATTAGCTGGCGGGCCGCTCTGATGGGCCCATTCCCTTGCTTTAATCAGGCCGGGCCCTGCTGCGCTTAATACGGGTGACGTGACGCTGCTGCTTTCTCATTCACAACAGCTGCTCGACTCCCAGAGCCAGGCTTATGCAAATCTCCTTTGTTGGAGACCATCAAATCTTTTCCCTCCTCTCTCCCTTTCAACAGGCAGAGAGGCAGAGTGAGGAAAAAACACTACCAAAAACGTTGAAAGGAGCTTTTTTTTCCTCACTCACCCCCGTTTTGTTTTAGTTAGACCACACTCTATGCACTGAGTCTCTGTCTTTCTCACACACACACACACACACCAGCCTCTCCATCTCTCTTAAATTGCCTCTCCTTCTTCATTCCTTTCCCTCACGCTTTCCCCCCGCCCTCCCTCACTCACTTTTGCTTTGGTCTATCCTTCCGTCTCTCTCTCTCTCAACCTCGGTGTCAGCCTCAGATTCAAATTCAAATTCAAACAGCTTCATTGGCATGACAAGAGAGAGTCTCGCCTAGGCTCATTCTCCGTGCCTGCCCCTTCTCAAAGCTACGCGCCCTGGCCCAGTAACCTCTGGTCTGGCTTGGAGTACGAGCTGTGTGATGTTGAGGAGGGGCAGCCGAGCCTTGTGTGTTGGGTCAGATCTGTGGACAGCCACACTATGGGCATGTCAGCGTCCTGTTCGTGTGAGGGACAGCTCTGACAGGGTTTCTCTGTTTGGAGTTACACAGACTACCACTGTCCTTTGATCCCGGGGCGCTTCTGCTTGCGGGTGTGAAATGTGTATGTGTCAGAGAGTTCATATTTGAAATCAAAGACGTTGTGGGTACCCACTCACGCCTGTGTACTCAGTGTGTTTGTGTGGAGTGCAAGTTGAAGTTCACATATAACAACATCAGAACTATACGTACTTGTGCATGGCATCTGGAGAGGATCTGAGTCGGTGCGGTAGTATCCGTTGCGGCAAACGCAGTTGATGGCGCCTTCGCTGGTGGTGCGGCTGTTGATGGGACACTGCATACAGGGCTCATCTTTTTGAGTCGGCTTGAAATAGCCTGACGGACAGGCTGAAAGACAGAGGAGGATACATGTGAGAATTCAGAATAAAATACTATAAACATTGTTTTTCAAAAAGGCACAGACAATGTAAATTAATGTCAGTTTATCAGAAACTTCCATAATAGGACAGCAGCAGGTTCTGTTTAGCGACTATTTTTGTTTTATTATTCATCATTCAATCATTTAGTTCAGAACATATCAGCAGAGTGCGGTGGCCCTGAGGGTCAAAACACTACGACATTTCACAAAACACATCAAGATTTAAGGAAGCACCACAACATTGTTACTCTGTCCCCACTGTGGGAAGAATAAAGAATTATCTTATATCATGTTTTTTGAAATGCTGTTCTTCCTGAAATGTTCAGGTTTTTTTTCCTGAAATACTGTTTTGTGACATGTTCTGTTTTCTGAGATGTTATTGTGTTTTGTGAAATGTTGTATTGTTTTAAAAAATGACGCTTTGTTTTGTGGCATGTTGTTGTGTTCTCTGAAATGGCATTATGTTTTCTCTAACGCTGTGTTTTGTGTTGTGTTTTATGTCACAACGGGCCACCAAAGCAAATCGTGGAAAAGCTCACAATTTGTCATAACCCAAGGTGAAATTTCTAAATTCATTTTATTTTATTTGATAGGAATGATTCAATTTAATATAGTTCCAATACAGAGAATGTGACTGATGTTTATAGCCAATGCTAATTTTCAACTCCTACTCTTTCAACTCACTAAATTACTTGGGTTGTTTTGCAGCAACAATCCAAAACCCAAAGATACTGAATTATAAAAAATATCAAAACTAAATAAACAAAATATTCTCTCTAACTCTCTGTTAACTGTCTAGTTAATAACTGATTTATATCTTGGGCTGGCACCATATCAGATATTAACAGTACAATTATCATGGCCAAAGTTTGAGTTATCTGTACAAAATTTAAAAAGGAAAAATGCTAAACGGTAGGGCTGAGTCAAATTCAAAGCTTTGATCATTGCCATGGTAATATGCCATATATTAAACATATATATATATATATATATATATGTACATCCCAAAAATCCCTAATAGCCCATACATTAAAAAAAAAGTTATCCAGCTTTATTTATTATGTATCAACATTAATTAATATTAGTTATCCTCAGACAAGGACATTTAAACTTAGTGATTCTTTTGTGATTTCAACTTCCTCTCATCTAATGTCAGTCAGCAGCAGTCAAATGAAACTGAAACCACACAGGACAGGTTAACAGATATGCCAGAAAGATGTCAAAAAAGTCAAGCGTCTGGAATAGTTACAAGATTTGCGAAGATATTCCCCAAAAAGTCGAGTGCCAGAAACGCCAAAGGACACTGGCATATCACAAATCTAGAACAAGCTTGGCAAATTACCTGAAAACTCTAACTAACAGCTCAGCTGTGTTGCAAAGTATTGTTCTGAAACTGATGCTTTCAAAAGGCCAGACTCGTGTCGTCTTCTCACATTGCCCTCCCTCACCTCCCGAGGCTTCAATTAATCACTGATATTTCTCACTGAAGCTTCAATGCCCAAAATTGATGTTCAAGACAGCCTTAGCTGTTGGTCCAATTCAACTTTAACTTCAGTAGAAAAAACTGAGGAGTGCTGCACTGGGTCAAGACACTGGGTGTATATAAATGGTAAGAAAAATTCAGGTGCTCTTTGAGGACAGGGCAAATAGGCCCCTTAACTTTGTTTATTATTCAATTTCTTTCTTTTATGTCGAATGAATTACACTACACACGAGTGTAGGGAGGTGGAGAGAGACTGTCACCATAACTGTAAAAAAAAGCGCAAAAAGAGCTATTACAAGCAACCAGATGACACAAGAGGAGGGAGACAAAGTGAGAATAGCAGGAAATGGAAATTATCTAAGAGGCAATGGTTTACTTACACAATATAATATTATATGTGTGTTATTAACATGATGTCAATTTTTCATTGTTAGATATCACGGTTATTGCCAATACTAGTATATTACAACACCCCCAGTCTGGACTAGGGCTGCAACTAACAATTATTTTCATTTTCAATCAGTGTGTTGATTATTTTCTTGATTAATGGGGGAGTTGTTTGGGTCTATAAAATGTCAGAAAATGTTGATTATTGTTTCCAAAAGCCCAAATAATGTCCTCAAATATTATGTTGTGTCCACTTCCTATTAAAATGCAGTTTACTGTTATAGAGGAGTAAAGAAACCAAAAAAAAAATTCACATTTTAGAAGCTGGACTCACAGAATTTTGACTTTTTTTCTTTAAAAAATGACTTAAATTGATTCATCGATTATTAAATTAGTTGATGATTAATTTAATAGTTGACAACTAATCGATGAATCGTTGCTGCTTTAGTCAGAACCCAAGGTAACGTCTCTAAATTGCTTGTTTTTTGAGCAACAATCCAAAACCGAAATACATTAAATATATATAAATATAAAACTGAGAACTCTTTGTCCATTTACTGATAAATTACTCATTCATCTCTAATTGTTTTGGTGCTGTAAGTCTGATAGCCATACAATAGGCAGCAGGTCACTGTAAATGTATTGTTTGTATATACTGTATTTAAACTCAGTATTTCTAAAAAAGTGAATGAAAGAAAGAGGCGTTTGTGATTCTTTCCATTATTTTATATCTCCCATGGTTCACGTGCTTTCCTTGGAGCTACATTTAACATATATTTGGTTACATCTTGCATTACAAGAGAAGCCATCGAGTGACCAGAATTCAAAACAACTCAAAAACACAGACCACGAGTCCAACGTATAAATATACATCAGCGCAGCCTGACATATAAATACACATCCTCGCATGAAGCCTCGCATGTCAGGCAACTCTCTGCAGATATGGCAACATGGCAACACATTGTAAGTTTGCTTTGAATTATTCACCGTGCTCTAGTTGCCTGAGAAGTCTCAGAAGTGCCCTGCATTCTGCTGAGAGCCCTTTTTAAGGGCCTCTCTGCGGAAACCTGGGAGGAAAGTTACATTCATGATAGAGACGATGATGAGCTCACACACCGCAGCTGCCATTAAATTCTGCATTCGTGTATGCGCCTGTGTGTGGGTGAATCACAGCCTGTGTACGGGGTGAATCTGTTTGTATGTTGCCATAAGCATCCGTCATTGCAGCGATAAACAAACTAACTTAGCTGTCTGTGAAATCCCCTTATCCTCTCCTGAGTCACATACCGCCTAGCCTAAACCTGCAAAAAAAAAGCTGTTTTTCAGCATTTGCACCTGCACCATGTCAAGAGATTTTTTTTCTATCTTGGGCCAAAGCAGCTACGGTTTTGCTTGAGGTAATCCAGCTCCCACCTGCCCCACCGATAAAGGAGAAAATACAGAGGTGTTGAGACAGAGGTGTTGGAAGTACAGTAACATGAAAAATTCACACACGGGACACGCTGCATATCCAGGTTAAAGCCCCTCAGGTCTGTCAGTGCTGCTGTTTTTTCTTTAGTAACAGCCAAACAAGCAGAGGAATTTATTGAGTCTGATGAAAGGCAACAAAATAAACCTGCTTTTCCATGAATTTATGGTTCTTCTTGTGAAACATTTATTTTTAAATCAAAGCTGGCAGGTTTATAGGAATATATTTGTTTTACTATGAAAGTAGATTTTGACAATTTGTCCCACTCATTATGGAAACAGCTCCCCCTCCCATTTTCTATATGTTTCTAAAAACTTTCTTTAACATGACTTTCTGTAAAGTAATAAAAATATACAGACACTATTTCCTTCTGAGGCTGTACTGGCAATTACAGCTCAACTGCAGCATCTGGAATATGGAAACATCTGCAGCTGCAGCTCCCATTTAACAGAGGCCAAATCACAAGGCAGAATTAGTCCGAGTCCAATCCCAATGTTTATATTACACAGACACATCACTGGACTCAGAGAGCCTACAGGCCGCGGATTAATGTCCTGTTTTCCCCCCTTGTAACTCGGAGTACATTATTCAGAACCATCACCTTCTAAATCTGGTCATTTTGGTAATTCAAAAAATGTGCAGACGCTTTTTTTTAATGGACAGAAATGTTTAAGATGTGCTGTGACTGACTGTAAATAATATCTGCGACTGTAACTGTGGGAAGGGATGGATGTAACAATGCTTTTTTGTGTATTTTCTGGAAACTCTGCAGTTTTGTAGATTCTATTAGTGCAGCTGAATCACCTATTCAAGGAGAGACTTAAAGTGGTTCAATGTGATCTGATCGACTGAACCGTATTGCATGAGAGCAGGCATAATAAAAACAGCCACGCGAATACAGTCTGTTCCAAAGAGGAGGCTGTTTTCATGGACAGAAATGACTTTTATTCGAATGTGTGCTTTGAAATGGGGACACATGTTAATTGTCATGCAAAGGTGTGCCTTAAAGTTACAAAGCAGAGTGTTATATTTGGTGTATTATCACAAACGTTAGAAGCAGAAAGAGCTCTTCCAAAATAAAACTGGAGTAATCTTAAAGATCTCCTCACTAAGTATTAGCTTTGACATGTTTTTCTTTTCCATGATTGATGGGGGAAAAGGTTTCGGGTACAGAGCGAAACATGAGGCCTGGACATTCACACTGCCAGTCAACAGGGTCGCTGAATGAGGCCCAGGCAACAGCTATGTGGGGAACTGGGTTCGAACCTCAGCGGCGCAGCGAGGTCTATGGGAGCGCGGCACACCGAGGAGCAAAACACCAAAGGAAGCAGCATAAAGAGGTGGTGAAGGAGGAGGAGGAGGGGGGAGAAGAAGAGAGGAGAAGTGTAAAGATGGGAACAAAGAGACGAGAGGGGAGAGGTGGGGAACGGCTGTGTTTGGGAGTTTTTTTCAGCCAAGGAATTCGGCGTGTTACTGTGCCCGCAGTGAATGTATGTGTGCCGCAACAGTGTGCAGACTGTGCATAACAATCAGAACAATGACTTTAAAATCTGCATGGGGACAAAAATGACTGAGTAAAATTGATTAGTGCTTATAAAGCCCCATGATGCCTTGCTACCACTGTGGTTGTA